CAACTAAAAATTGATCAACAGCAGATTAATTGATAATGAGAATAATATGAGATGTGTCTTTATTTTTATCACACATAAATTGTGTGTGTGTGTGTGTGTGTGTGTGTGTATGTGGTCTAATTCAAAGCTTTTCACTGTTTGAGAACAAATATTTGCTCCACAGATTAAATATTTAAACTTCGGTTTCCAAAACCACGACAGAGTTGCAGTCGGGCCCCTGACTGAGGAGACGAGTGCTCACGAGGTGACGTCCCATTTATCATGAGGGTCACGGACGAGGTGGAGCCCACCGGGTAGCTGACAACAGACGTTTGCGTTCTCACAAGCGGCTCCTCCGCAAGATTTCAGGAGAACATCCAGACTTCAGCTCTGACAGCAGCTATGGAGACAAACGACCAATCACACGCTTCGGGGATGTTGTGTCAGAACCTTCGTGCAGTGAGTTTCTGCAACTGAGAAAGCAAAGACAAGCCAGAGTGAAAAAGCTCTTGCATCATTTCATCTAAACAACCAGAAAAAAAGGTTTTAAAGGAAGAGGACGGGCTGAAGCTTTGTTTAGACTTCGTCTGTAAACAACGGCCTTTCCTTTGTTTCCTTTCCTCAGTTACCATAAACAGCTGGAAAGCCGTGCACGTATGCCCAGTGTCAGAGCTGTTTATCAGGGATGGGAGGCAGATGAGCTTGTGCTGGTGCCGGTCCAACATCTCTGCACCGTCAGACGCCCACAAGACTACCTCCCCCCCCCCCCCCCTCGAGACTCAGAAGAAGCAGTGATTCTCTGGACCAGGTTCAAACAGAGCTCTGAAACATCCAGACGCTTCTTCTACAGTGAAACTACTCTTTTCTGTTTCCATCTTGTTGGAGGTGACACTTCTCTCGAGTGAAACTTAATCTGAGGGCTCGTCCTGTTCTCAAGGCCCCTGGACCTTGGAGGCTTTGAATGGTTTTTGATTTGTGAAAGTTGGATCTGGATCCCAACTGCAGGTGGGGACCAGAAAAATGTTCCCAAGTCAAGTTCCCGACGGTGTGGTCCCAGCGGCACCAGATGTGAAAGCCATTTGCTCAGATGACTCGATGTGCCCGCGCGCTCTCGGTTCAAACCTCGGTGGCCACACAGGGAACGTTCTGCAGGTGAGCCGGGATAAAAGTGGGACTGTAAGAAACATCAAAACCCACATGGTTAAAATCCACAGCGTTAAAATTATACGAGAGGTGAAAGAAGAGTCAGAGACGTCACGTCTACAAAACTGATGATTGATTCGACAGTTTTTTGTGTTTGAAGGCGTGTCCTCGTGGCCACAACCGAGGACGGTGCCCGTGTCTCGGTGATATTTAACCAACGCGAGGTCATGCATGCGTCACACCCACTAAAACCGTTTGCAGGACAATACTCTGCAGCTGCCTCTCGTCAAACGTTTGCTCGTGCATGAATCCCTGAGCCCAGAGAGATTTGGAAAAGATTAACCGATTCTGTGTGGCACCACTGTGACTGACTCGCTGTAAAATTTGTTTTAAATTGTTATTTTCGTCAAATCACTCGTGGTGATTTTTCCAGCCTGAGTTTGAAAAAGCTTCCAGGTTCTTCTGAGAGACGTTCACCACAGACAATGAAAGGCCTCCAGGAAAAAGAGGCCAAAGCCTGGCAGGGACGTTTTCTTCTTTTAATGTGGAACCTCCATCTGAAGTCAGCCACCAGGGGGCAGTTCATCTCTGCGGTGAACTAATTATTGAACATGTTGGCATGCTAACGTTTAGCTCAGTGACAACAGACACTAACAAGGCATAAAGTCTCTTTGTAAAACACAAGCAAAGTATTAACGAGTTATTTCGTACTACTCCTATGAACACTAATAAAATTACTACATGTTGGTTCAGGTTGACTCTATGACTCGTTTGCTCCATAACAACATTTAATCATTGTCCTGTGTGATCAGTTACAAAAATAAAACGGCCGAGCCATCTTTCTCCAACGTGCTGATCCCGTCTCACTAAGATTTACGTCCTCAGAGCCGGTAGCCAATGCTGCCCCCATAAAATAGAGTGATAGGTGCACTCAGCAGTCTCGAAGTGCTGTTCAACACTAAAAGCGAAGATGGATCGGTATCACACCTGAGACAAATGGTTTTTCCAAAGATGTGTTTTTCGGTTCTTTTATTTTGTAAGGGAAAATTCACCTGAGCACACACGTGTCTTTTAGAGACACCTCACCATCAGAACTGGAAACACGGCTCCGAACAGTTGCCGACTTGGCAGAACTTTCTCAGACCGACTTCTTCGACCTCAAAGCTTCGGCTGCCGGAGATCAGAACAACACCGTGCTCTACAAAGATGTGAAAACACTCAGGAGTTCAGTGAAAATCACTCTAATCTGACCCGACACTCGCTGGACCGTCCGAGAACCTGAATCCAAGTCATCTGGAAGAGAAAATGGAAGCGAATGCTGCAAATTATGTCGGATGTTTTAACCTGGGACTGATGGGAATCCGTGTCCACATAAAAGCGCACATCCACATGGACGAGCTGTGGGATCCTGGCACCGCGCTGAGGTGCCGTCAAACGAGATCGAGTGGAGTGTTGGTGAAATCCAGCTGCGGGAAAATGCACCATCGGGGGCAAACGGAGGAAACTTGCCAAAACTTCAGTGATGCAAAGTCAAAGTGAATCCCTGCTATGGAAATATGTCTCTCTTACTGGTATTTAACAATGAAAAGAACTAAACGGTGCTCTACATCAGAGGGAGGAATTAATCGGGTTCACCTCCTCTAGTTCTGACAAACAGGATCAAGACCTCTTCTATTTATTTACTAGGACAGTGTGTAGCTGTATCATCGGTTCACCTCTCGTTCTGGCAGCCGGCCGCCACCTGACAACACAGAAAGCATTTTTCCAGATGTGTGTGTGTGTGTGTGTGTGTGTGTGTGTGTGCGTCCCCTCTGACACCACAGCTGTCCGCCCAGCCCTGCAGCTTCTCCGTGTGCACGTGTCTCGGTGTGTATGTGTGGGACTGTGTTAGTCAGTCCCGTGGGTGAGGAGACATAATGGCGATCAGCGCTGGGAGTTCTGGGAGTTTAAGTGTTCAGACTCAGCATTCCATTTTATATGATGTATCACAACCGGGGGACGACCACGCACTCTGCAGCCCGGTCAACATGTGCGTGTTGTGCCGAGTCTGTGGCCCAAATAAACGGCAAAGGTCAGATAGCGTCACACTACTTATAAAATAACAAACTTATCAGAAGCGTGAGCGTGATAAGAACGACCTTAAACTTCAGAAACCATCTGTACGCGTGCACCTTTGACTTCTCGGCTTGGTTCAAGTCCCACACACTAACATGGAGGAGGCTGGGTTTAATGGCCTATACTGCAGCCAGCAAACGGGGCAATCAAGATGATTTGGCTTTCACTATAACACGCACACGATGAAATAACTGGAATCTGTGTCTGATCTAAATGGACCTGTTATGATTCAAGGCGTGTTGTTTTTCCCTCTGTTTGCTCATGACCTCGATTTCTGACCCATTTTCCTCCAAACCTGAGACGTGTGTGTGCTTGTGCAGGAGTTTTTCTTTTTTAATGAGTGACTGACAAACTGATGACTGGGCAGAACAACAGAACACTCTCTGAAGCTTTGCTCTCACTGCACTTGTCTTTCTTTGACTGTGTTCAAAAAGCCGCAGATTAAAAGAAAAGAAAACTTTGTGTTTCTTCGCAGGTTCACGTCCCCGGGCGATGAAACACCGGGGGATCCCTCCTCTTCTTCCTCAGAAACTCAGTGAGTATGAAAATAAGTTTTTCTTCCAATGAATTCAAACCAAAAGCCAAATATTCAGCCTCGTCCAGGCGTGAACGGATCACTCTGCAACTCCCCACCCCCGCACTGCATTATACTGTGGCGTAACGCACCATTTACTGAGAGGGAAAAACAAACTCATCAAACTTCTACCGAGCAAATTCTTCTGTTGTTGTAGTTGGACTTTAGAGAACTTTATGTTATTGTGATAGTTTTTAGTCCATAATAAATTATTATTTATTCTAGTGATAAAGTCTAAAGACTTAATTTAATTTAATTTAATTTTATGTTAGAATCATTTCAGCATTCCACATTGTGTATTTTGTTGTGCAGCTTGGTTTGAGAAAGTTTTACTATAGAAATATAAATATATATTAGATGCATATTTAATTAATGCAAAACATTATCTTCTTGATGTAAAACTCAATTAACTCAAATTAAGTGTCAGCTGTATAAGTAGGTTAACCTTGCTCTTGTGCTGCCATCTAAAGGACATGTGTGGTAACTACTGCTGGAACCTTGTCAAAACTGCAAGTTGTTAATTTTCTTGATTTAAAATCTTGATCTGAACTTTTTTTTAGGGATAAATTAAGTGAGAAACATCAACTTTAGAGGAGGGAACAACAAATAATGAACAATAACATCACAAGTGTTTGTGTTTCTCTCACTTTGCTTTTCTGTTTTGTTTTTCTTGGACTCTTTTATTTATTTATCACGTCTGTCAAGAGGTTATGTTTTCAACCCCCTGTCCATTTCTTGGTTTGTGTTTGAACGAGATTACACAAAAGCCACAGGACGGATTTCCACAGAACTCAGGGAGTTGACCCATGAATTGTTTCTCTTTGTTTTAGAGTCTGGCTTTTTATTTTTTTATTTTTTTATGTTTTCTCTGGGAATAATTTGTGGATCTTGATTTTTAGAGACATATTTAGAGGATTTTAATAAGTGTGTGAGATGTGGTGCAGCTTGTTTGAATTTAAAGGGACCATTGGGCCCTGGGGTCATTCTAGTTTGTGTTGTTTTTGTCGTTATTATTATTATTATCATTATTTGTTCACCAAACTGCGTTTACAGGGAAAGGAAATGGATTTGAAATGACTTAAAACGTGAAAACAGCATTAAATCGAAAGGTGAAATGTGCGTGAGCCATATTTAATTCTCTTGTGTAAGTCAGTCAACAGAAATATGATCAAATGAATTCCATTAAACTCTAGACGGACATTACAGCTTCATCCAGTGACGAGGTGATGACGGTTTCAGCCAGTTGCTGGGCCAGTCGATGAAGTTCTCCATCATCTGCTATCTGCTCTCTGCTTCCGGCCCTGAAGACCCAGTCTATGACGTCGCATGAAAGAGCCTCAGCGAAATCCTCCATCTTGGCTCCTGCTTCAAACCAGTCTCTCACCAAGTCACCTGCAGACAGCGAGTTCATCAGATGCTCCATGAGCTCCACCCGGGGGTTGTCGGCGATAGGGCAGACATCGTCCCCTTTCTCCTTCGGGGTTGTCGGAGGAGGCGAGGGCAGGAAAACCTTCGCCAGGCCGCCTTTCAGCTTCCGGGCGAAGCTGTCTCGGCTCCTCTCCAGCTCGGGGAGGAGGGGGGTGGTCGGAGGGGCGTCGGGGTAGTCGAGGGATCCCATGACGGGGAGAGCTGGGTGGTAGTGAGGGGTGTCTTTGAACGTGTGGAGTTCTTTAACTGGATCCATCTCTGTGTCCATGTTCACAAAGTCTCCATCTGAGAAAGACAATTTTTCAGCCTGATCGTCATCCATCGTTACGCCGGCTGATCCCGAACTCTGGAAACCCTGAACGTTACAACCAGCGCACACTTCCCTCAGAGCATCCTCAACCACCGCGGACGCTAACACCTCACCCAACGTCTCCTGGTCTTGATTAGCACTGATCACCTCAGGTTCCACCATCTCCCGTTGGCTTATGGACGGCTGGATTATGTTCTCTGCCATGTTTTGAGCAAACCTCTCAAGGGCCTCAGTCTTCGGGGGGGTTCTCCTGAGGCCTGCAGGAATGCCACGGGTTTCCAGATTGGGCTCCGGCACCCCTGAATCCGATGTCGCTGCCTGCATCTGATCCTGTGTGGGGAAAAGCAAAGATCTTGGTTAAAGGAAAGGAAATACCCCTTTTTTCCTGGACCCTCTTGTTCTGCAAGAAGAATGTGGTGAGGGCCAGTACAAGGTCCAAAAAGGGTTTGAATCTCTGCCTCGTTCCTATAATTAATTCATCTTTGTATTTTTATTGGAACTTTTCTTGCCAACATGTTCGGTGAAAGCCAGACAGGACGCACAGTAAATATTTCCCCTAAATGGTGCAGCAGTTTCCTTTCCTCTCTGCTCCCACATTCCTTGCCTGTTTCAGATTTGAGAAGAAAAAGATAAGCTAACAACTGACGGGGAGTTGTATGTTTTAAGAAGTAAAGTGTACTCATGTAAAAAACAGAGAACGAAAACATGGCGGTGGGGGTGGGAGAGGCAGAAAGTCCCCTGTGCAGCCTCCGATGGAAAGTAAGATTGAGGCCTCTGACCACAGCCTGTCACCATATGAGCTGTCAGGCAGCCAGGATGTGACAAGCAGGAAGTTCAGCTCGGCATTCGATTAGCAAAGAAAAGCACCAGGCCTCGCCGCAGCCGCTCGCTTTGTGCACATCTGCGTCTGGATGTACGTTCTGTTTCATGAATATTGCGTCAATTTGGCAAATCAGAGATGGAACGAACCAAATACGCAATGAAACATATTGTGCGGATGCATGCAGCAAGAAGTGAGACATCTGCCTCTATTTTCAATACAGCTATGGACACATGGATGTTTGAAAGGTTCTGTTCCACAAGGTCTTGGTTGGTTTTCACATCTAATGAAATGCTAACCCTGCAAGTGTGTCAGTGAAAACATTTATTAATGGGAAGTAAAATGGAAACGCATGCATCCGTCTCCAGGGCACGGATCCACAAAGCCGTATTGATATGTTTTCCTTTTGTTTTTCGTCAGTCACACAAATGAAGTCCAGACCGTCTGAGTATTCTGCTGCAGGATTCATGAAAGTCAAGTTTTTTTTGAATAAGTTCTTCTGTATCTAATGTTCAAGGAATATTTTACACCTCTCTGATGGGATTGGTATCATGGAATACAAAGACCACACACAAAACCACAACAAACTATTTGTAGCTCTCTAAGTTTTTGGAGCTAAATAAGTGAAAATACAGATAATTTTAAAACCAACGAAGTACAAGTACGTGCAAGTATTTCTCAAAAGATTGATTTAATCTTTTAAGATAAAAAGGGTAAACCTCAAAACATTTTATTTGCATGTTTGAGATAGATTGCTGAGTCATGAATCGGTCATGGTCGTAACTTATTCACTTGTCCGCTTAACATTTAGCAAGCTTCCTTATCTCCGTGGATTGCGCGGCTAGCTTCTATTACAGTCGCTACAAACACTATCGTATTATTACAGAGGAATTCGTTGAATCCTTCCGTGGAGTTTTGTTGCAATCAAAAGAAAATGCTTAGATTTTTATCCTCCAACAGTAAATTGTATTGATGTGAGACATAAATACGATAACAATCTAATCTCCGAGCTGCATCTGCGAGCAGCCAAAGCAAACGACCCTTTCTGCGTCACCAGGGGAAACTGTGATGGAGTCTCCCGAGATGTGCGTGGGATGTGTCGCACCTTTATCCTGTCATAGCTCACCGGGCGGACCGCAGCCCCATGTTCAAAATGAACGGAGCCCAGTGAGGAGATGGAGAACACGGCACAGATGTGGAACAAATTACAGCTAAGACAAAGAATGTATTCTCTTGGCAATCTGACTTGGACATCCTGATGGGCAGAGGAATGTTTATGAGGATGCTACTTTATTCGATAAGACCCCCACTTCATCTGCAGGCTCTGCTCACTGACCTGCACAGAGGCCACTGCAGAGTCCCGTTGGAAACGCACTGCCTCCGTTTGACCCTGCGTAAAGAAACCACTCACCACGTGAGACCCACCAAGTGACAATTCCAACGAGAAGAAATCTGCAAATGGACCATTTGAGGTTTTAGAATCTGTCTGATAAATCACCAAAAACATTTCCCAATGCATCATCTCCTGTCTTTTCTATCGCAAGAGATTATTTAATCTTTGTTTGCCTGAGAGAAACCAGACAGGTCCGAGATTTAAAACCACAAAAGCAGTGAAAGCAAGTGCGTAAAAGGGCAACTCCTGATTTATTGCCATACCTGGCACGACTCAGAAGGAATCTTCAGAGGTAGCTGGACGAGATTTGAGCCAAAAGTTCCAAAAAATGTGGCGTAAAATATGAAGAAAAGATGGAGAAAAATATCAGACAGGTGCAGCTGTGGTAGACCAACGTTCCAGTTTTTATCAGGGTGACGCTTCGCTGTTTGGAGTCTTCACTTCACATGAGTTAATGCGGAAATGAGTTCGACAAATGAGTTCGCAAATCCCCCTCACTTCCTCTCAGCGTGTGTGTGTGTGTGTGTGTGTGTGTGTGTGTGTGTGTCTCAATTTCATCAATCTACCACATTGACAAGAAGAGGAAATGACACATGCACAGACGCTGTTCAAAGTTAATTTGGAATTAATAGAAATTGGTTCTGCATGAAGCGAAACAGATGAAGACATATGAAGGATAAGAGGAGGAGGAGGAGGAGGAGATAAATGGCAGAGGAGGTGAAGAAGGTATTTTTATGTTTTTTTTCCACTTTGCTGCACAGCAACAGACGGATGAACAGACACTTTGCTTACAGTGATTAAAGTACTAATACCACACTGTAATAATCCTTCTACTGCTGTAAATATAAAGTCCTCCGGTTATCGAAAATGATGTTTCATCAACAGTGAGTAAATATAAAAGTTTAAAACTTCACATGCAGCCCCTCGGGAACAGGTCTGGAGCTCAGTGCACGTCTGAAAGCTGCTTTAATGTAAAATGGCACGAAAGGACAATAAACTGTTTCTGATCTGCAGCACTTGAGTAAAATAACTGGTTATAGACGGTCCAACAAAAGGATCCGTTGTGTTTCTGTGAATCATTATTTCCTTGACCCTGAGTCAAGTGTTCGAACCCCACCCTCTCCTCAGCTCCAACAAACTCCTCTGCTCCGACGGACACAGCTCTCACATGACGGCGTCTTGTTCTGGACGACTGGGAGGGAAGTGGAATCAAACATGTGACATCTCCCTTCAGGCCTCATCAGATTCCACTGAGCGAAGACAGGACTCTGAGACACTGTCCAATTAAAGTCAAGGTGTAAAGGGACAGGCCTCAGGGTTTTATTTGTTGTTTCCTGTTTGTTCACTTCAGTTTCATGATGTGTCCGCACTTCACGATGGAGCCGGCCGACGTTCTCAGAGATGACAAATGGAATTAACGGTGATCCTCAGGTCAGAGGAGAATTCAAATGAATCCATCCAATTTTTATTTTATCCTCTTGACAAGACTCAGTTTCACGTCCTGGCCTCGATTCCCTGTTTCCCGACAGGAATTGAAAGGGACCCTCCCAAACTCCTGGCAGCTGGATGCACGTTAGCCGCCAGCTTCCTCTGATATCTGAACCTGAACCTGAGCTCAGTGTGCACGGATGCACGGTTTTTTAAGAAGCTGGTGTTTGTGTGTCAGTGGACCCAGTGTCCAACGTTTCAGTCTCTTGTGAAACTTTCATAAGAAAATCAGACAAATAAACATTTGGGTGCAAAAATATATCGTCTGATTTAAATAACTTGGACAGTTTATTCCCCATCATCCTTTATTTATCAATAAATAGCAGCAGCCATAAACACCAACTGCCAAAACTTCAAGTTGAAAAGTACATTATCATTATCATTGGTGAAAATACCTGAAATTAAATTCCCCCTTAATATATAAATATAATTTACTAAGAAAATAAATTACCTGACATTAGAATATAAAATGCAAATCCTGATGACTGATGATATTGACTTTGATTGATCCCAGAGGGAAATATGACCAAAGTACAATAAATACTATATAACGGTTACTTGTACTTGCACGTGCAGTACTTGTACAGCTAATATCGACTTTGAGTACTACACGTGTGTCATGTTGTACTTGTATGTGCATGTATGACGTAATGTGTGGAGCATAAAGCATAAAGTTTAAAAACATGAGTGGAATGAAAGCACGAGACAGAATCACTGTCACGTGACTGTTGTTTCAAAACATCAATAAAACACAAACGTCTCCTCTGTTTGAAAAACTGGCTCCTCCTCCTCCGGGGGGGGGGCGTTTGTCTTAACAGGAGGGGAGGTGGGCGGGGCTGATTTCTGTTATGAAACTCAATTTAAAATATTTATTTTTGTTTTTTTTTTAAATAGTTAAAATAAAACTCTGCGCAGAGAAACGCTCACGTTGCGCAAAGTGACGGAATAAAAAAAAAACCACAACGCGTTGATCACGTTCCTCACGTGACTTTAAACGGGCGGAGCCGACACCACAAAACAAGCGCTCCCTTCGCGGCGGCATCCGTAGCTGCTCCCTGATTGGTGGGCGCGGATCAAATTCCAGCCAATGGCAGCGCAGCGCAGCAGATTTGGATCCGCAGCGGAAAATCACTTTTGTCCGAATCCGCGAAACGAAGCTGCGTCAAGAAAAACCTGCGTTTAAACGAGACACACGCGCAGTTTTCCGTCCCCGCAACAAACCGCAGAGGAAGGCGAACACGCAGGTGAGCTCGAATGTCCGCTCGCGGCGGTTTTTAGCGTCACTTTCTGTGCGTTTATCGCCGCAGCGCTTCACGGTTCACTCACTTCCTGTCTCCTCCACGCGCACAACAGCGACGGAACTGCGTGGTTCGTCAAAGGACAAGCCGCCGGGGGTTTTCACGCGTGTCTTTGCGGTAACAGAAGAAACGATGCCGCTGCCGAGGGTGAAGAAATCCTCAGTGTCCGCCGGGAACAAGCTCCTGAAGCTGAACTCCACCAGCTCCGAGAACCAGGTACGGAGAACCGTGTGTGTGTGTGTGTGTGTGTGTGTGTGTGTGTGTGTGTGTGTGTGTGTGTGTGTGTGTGTGTGTGTGTGTGTGTGTGTGTGTGCATATTAACAGCTGGGTCTCCATCTTGGTTTGTCTTTGTTGCAATGGATGCACATCACATGATGAAGGGGATTTTGTGTGTGTGTGTGTGTGTGCTTTGTGTTACCTGTGTGTGTGTGTGTGCTTTGTGTTACCTGTGTGTGTGTGCTTTGTGTTAACTGTGTGTGTGTGTGTTGCAGGAGGAAGGCCCCCAGGTGAAGAGGTCCTCCTCGCCCCCCCATGGAGCCCCCAAGAAGAGAACAGCGTTTATAGACATCACCAATGTGAGTCCTTTGTTTTTACATGTGATTCACAGAGAAAGACACGTGACGGAGACTCGTTCAGATAAAAGTACCTGGAAAGTACTAGATTCTCCAGAATAAAACACGAGTGATTATAGTACAGAGAAGTGTACATGCTGCAGTACTTCAGAGTAAACAACAAGTTCTCAGAGAGGTCGTCTTGGGAATTGAGGAATTTTACTTTGGCAAACATTTCAACTAACTCTCGCTTCAAAATGTTTTACTTTGTTCTTGTGAAGCTGCAGGAAAGTTCACATGAGCGACACATCAGCTCTCAGTGATCGCTGACGAGAAGCAGATGCCACTTAGCTGCACAAGACCTCATTAAATGTGATGAGTCTGTATTGTTGTTGTTTCATATGTGGACAACAGAGCTTCGTGACATTGCTGTGGCCGCGTCCTCGTCTTTGTGTCGTTCTGATGACGTCCGTCTTCGTTCACAGGCTCATAAGGTTCAGATCAGTCTTCCAGGGAGGAAGAAGGAAACCACGAAGAGCACGGGGAAGAAAACCAACTCCGGCTCCGTGGCCGTGAAGAAACAATCCCTTCTGAAGAAGTAACGAAACCATTTTTATCATTTTGTTTTCACTCCTGTCTCCGGTAATAATCGTTATTGATAATAGGGCTCACCTCCTCCTCCTCCTCCTCCTGCAGGTCGTCCTCTGTGAGCTCAGAGGGAGCGACGGCTGAGAAAGAGAAGACAGAGGAGGAGACACCAAAGGATGCAGCAGCTCCAGTAGACGAGCTGGTGGCTGCTGCGCCCCCTGTTGTCCGTGAAGTGCCAGCACACCTCCAGAAACAACAAGTAAGGGCAATGATGAGTACTTCAGTAATTCCTGTGACTCGTACAAACCGGAGTGAAACCTCTTCTGTGAATGAATCGTGTACACGCTCTGTTTCTCTTTTAGATCCCAGCAGAGTTTGACATCGACTCCGAGAACTCTGAGGACACGTACATGTGTCCGGAGTACGCCAAGGAAATCTTCGACTACCTCAAATGGAGAGAGGTGAGCCAAAGCAAAACACCTTTCCCCAATTCTAAAAAGAGTTCAAACCCGTTAAGAGCGCTGTTTGAAAAGAACCACCTAAAACCTGAGGGGTTTCAAATCCATTAAAGCAGCTCTTCCCCCAACGTTGGCTTTTAAAATGTTAATGTTTGCTTCTCCTCCTGTCGTCTCCAGGAGAAGTTTGTCCTCCTTAACTACATGCCCACGCAGCCCAGCCTCAACCCAGAGATGAGGGCGATCCTGATCGACTGGTTGGTCGAAGTACAGGTGGGTCCTCCTGAGAGTCTGTGCGACTCCTGAGAGTCTGTTTCTCAGAGTTTCTTCCTCTGACTGACCTTTGAGTTTTTTTTCCTGTAGGAGAACTTCGAGCTCTATCACGAGACCCTCTACCTCGCCGTGAAGATGACGGACCACTACCTGTCTCAGACTCCCGTCCACAGGGAGATGCTGCAGCTCGTCGGCTCCACCGCGATGCTCATCGCCTCCAAGTTTGAGGTGAATAATGACGTGCTGAACACGTTATTACAGAATTTTGTGTTTGTCCTGGACAATCTCCTGCTGCTTTCTTCGTACCTTAAAGACAACGTTATAAAAATCACCTGAAACGAGACGTCAGGCCTTGATGATACTTCCTGAATCCACCCAAACACACCAGAGCAGTGACGCTACCCAGATAAACCCCGAAGACTCACTTACACCCGGCTCACTTCCTGTTTGATTCCTCAGGAGCGCAGTCCGCCGTGTGTCGACGACTTCTTGTACATCTGCGATGACGCGTACAAGAAGGAGGAGCTCATCTCCATGGAGGCCAGCATCCTGCAGACGCTGTCCTTTGACATCAACATCCCCATCCCCTACCGCTTCCTCAGACGCTATGCCAAGGTGTGTGTGTGTGTGTCTGTGTGTGTGTTCATGGTCTGACAGCTTCCTCTGATGCTTAGCTCCCAAGTGTTTGTTTGTGACATCGTGTTATGTGTGTGTCTGTCTCCGCAGTGTGTGAACGCGGGCATGGACACGCTGACTCTGGCTCGATACTTCTGCGAGATGAGTCTCATGGACATGGAGCTGATTCCAGAGAGAGGCTCGCTGCTGGCGTCCGCCTGCCTGCTGGTGGCGCTGGTCACCAAAGACCTGGGAGGATGGGTGAGTCGCCTCATCACAATAACGTTTTTATATCCGTTTTACGCTGCAGCTCGGTTCTGGTGCTGACTCGGTCGTGTGAGACTTTAATAAACATCGATGTCAAACTTGTATTCAACAGAATAAACAATGCAGAAAAACACAGTTTGGCTTTTTGTGACTTTACCTAGTTTATTTCTAGATGTTTGCAATGATTAAAATGATATTTACAAATGATAAATATGTGTATTTCTTTATAAAGATCTGCAGGAGTTCTTAATAATCCTGTTATTGTATATTATATGTTTTAAATTCTGGTATAAACAATAGGAAATGCTCTAAATGTTGGGGAACCACTTGTGTTATTGCGGTTTGCGTTTAAAATCGGAGCGTTTTGATTCTAACCAGGTGTCTTTTCGTCTCCATTCCCGAAAAAATATGAATTGCAGCTGTGCACCAAACACTAATATTTTTAGTAAACACAGAACGTTGTAATGTTTTCAAACCAGATGTTCCTAAATCTCTACTAATTCGCCTAATGTTCGGTTATTTCAGTAAAGCAGAAACATAAAACCTCAGGCGCTAAAGCAAGTCTTCATATTTGTTCTCCATGATTTGTTCCTGGGACTGAACCATCATGGTTTTTTTTTTGTTTTTGCTCAGCAACCAAGTCGTTCCAAACCAATTCAGCTCGGCTGCTTCATTATCCACAGTTTGTCGTGTGACATCGGTGCCGAACTCTCGACTGTTTGACTTTTCATCACGAGGCTGCGGCTCCGTCGGCAGAACAGCCCGTCCTCCCTTTAATTTAAATGTAAATTGTTTTCCCATGTAAATTTGACTTATCGTTGTGGCACCGGGGACGCTGGGTAATTTTATTTTCGGCTTTGTGTCGACTCCGGAATCAGCTCGAGTACGTTTTTTTTGCAATTTAGAAATGATATAATGTTTATGTAACAGGTGGAACGATGCACAGGCTGAGTAATGAACGCCGGGCTGTGGATTTGTTTGGGTGTTTTCTGACTGTGGAGGTTAAACAAGGCGACAGCTCTGAATAATCACGTCTCGTTCCTCTGCGCCCTCAGGCTCCTATCCTGCAGTTCCACTCCGGCTACCAGACGTCAGATTTGGCGCCGGTCGTCAGAAAACTCCACTCGATGCTCGTGGCGCCGGTCGATGATAAACTGAAAGCCATCAGGAACAAATACTCCCACAAGTGAGTCAAGTATTCAAACACTGGGGCTGTCACTTTTTAAATATCTTTTTAAATGTGCCACTAAATTCACTGGGTCCAGATCTGTGTTTGCATCTGCACCACAGGCAATAGGTCGAGCTCGAGGTGAGCGCCATCTGCTGGTTCATGAGGCAAACTACTTCAGACTCATGCATCTAAACTGAATATTTCAAATTCAGCAGTTTGATTAAAAAGTGACGGCCCCATTAAAGCCATAAAACATGACACAGGAGTGATTGTTCTGATGATTAATGGATTCTTTCAAATGTTTCAGGGTGTTTTTTGAAGTTGCGTCCCTGCCAGTGGTGGACATGGACATCCTGGAGAAATCCTTACTTCAGCAACATAATTAAATCTTTCCATAACCTGTACATAGTTTGTTAATATGTTAAATATTTATACACGTAGTCTGTCTTTTGTATGACCTGTGAAATCAATGTTTGCTCCCCGGTTCTCGATGAAAAAGAATTTTAATGTGGGAAGACGTTTGCCAGTTTATTGTGTTCGAACCAGGTTGTTTATAATAATGGAATTTCAACCGTTGCATTCAAGTTTTTTAGGCATTTATTTTATACTTTCTTTTTTTCTACGAAGATTAAAAAAGAAAATCTTAATTCGTGAGTAATTAGTGAGGCTGTTCTGTGTTTACACAGGATTTAAAGAGTTTTAAGATGACGATAGGACGGAGAATCTGGTACACGCTTACTTTTACTGATTGTACTCTGGTTTTCATTGTTGGAGTTAGTGTCTATGTGTGTATTCGTACAATGTACAGTGTTTATCATGTTAATATTACTGTGCTAATTATTTGTATAAAAGAAGACCGGATGATGCGGTGCTATTTTTAAATGGCCGTCATGCTTACTCTTAAAATAAAGACGTTTTTTATTGTGTTTGATAAAATCTGTGTTTGTTAGTTTACTACTTTGTGTTTCCTCACTTTTATCCATTATTTTCTTTAAAACGTGAAGCTGCTTCTGGAAGGAGCATCTGAACCTGGTTTCCACAGAACATGTTGTTATGTTTCACGACCACTAGAGGTCTCTTTTGCACCGTGCTCTGTCCAGATGTCCCTCCTGCATTGTGTGTTTCCCAGCAGCCAAATCTGAAAAGTTTGACCTCAGTGTCTTGATGTAATATTTTTATCTTGAAACTCTCACTGGACAGTAAAATTACTGCAGTGGGTACTCCTCAGTTTACATAGCTGGACGTTCAGTAGTGAACAGAAACACCGTTCACCACATCCCCAGTGTTCTGAGAGCAGAACTTGGCAGAGCAGCAGCAGCTTAACGGTGCTTTCAGTGTCTCTGATGCGTTCAGGCTCACTGCTGAGTGTTGGCAGCATGTTCAGCCCGTGCAGACGCTCACGCTGATTTTAAACTACAGTTCAGTCGTTCTGGAACTAGGCAACGTATTTGTCTGGACAACTGGATTCATGCTTTCATTATCAGGAGATTGTTAGAGACGTCAACACGCCCACGAGCTGGCTGTGGATTTTCCAGACATTTTCCCTCTGCAGCCTCTCTGGTGCATTTCGCTTCTATGTGGAGCAGCTGACTCACATCCTCAAACTCCTCGTCTGAAGGCCGTGGGTACAACCATCAGGCAGCTCCTGGTTTCTAAAGATTTGTCCGGATCAATACGTTGGCCCGATGATGGCTGTGATTCTGAAGCCCACCTTTCTGCTGCCTGGTTCCACGGGGACCTGCCGACAGCCGGCAGCAGGAGGGGGAAGTTGTGGACATTGATTTTGTGTCCTCGACGGAACTGGGACAGAGGGGCTCAAAGTTCTGACCTGTCACAGACCCTCCGCTTGGAAATCCTTGTCTCTAAGAGCGGCTTTCCAGAGAATAGACAGGTCCACACGTTGGAGCTTTTCCAAAACACTTTTCATCAATCGACTTTAAAGAGAGTAGGATTCAGTTTTTACATTTTTAACAGAAATGGCGTCAACAGGTGCAACATCAGAACCAACTGCATCTCTGGTGAAACGGGACAATCGGCTTTGATTCCGGGATCAAGCTGTGATGTTGAGAGCCGCGGAGGGATTTAATCCACCAGACAAACTCTGGACTCTTCATGCAGTTTGAAGCTCGGATGCTAACGGCTGCTTATCGTTGCTCGATTCACGGTTATTTATGAGCTCAAGTGTCTGTCTTATGCTTCAAACTGAATTCTAGAGATTTGAGAAATGCATTCACGACTTCATGTGACTGTGTTAGATGGAAGAGTGGATCAAAAACAAAACCTCCCTTTGTTCTCCAGCTCATTCGATCTCAAACAGCAGCTGCAACCCAGAAAATGAGCGGCAAAGCTTCCCGCTCTGTGCCAGCTCCCTCTGATTGTGCGGAGCTAAAAGAGTGAAAGCCTGTTTCTCAGCTCTTCCACTGATCAATAGCTCATATGAAGTTTGGCAGCGGCGGTTTTGAGATGCGCATCTGCCCGTCCGAGTGGGCGCCATCTCCACCTGCAGACTTTAATCACGCCGCTTTATTGGGATCTGCGGCTCGTAGCGAAACGAGGGATTGAACGTGAATGCAGACGCACACAAAAACACACAAAATGTGGCCAATCAATCTTTCTAATTGATTGAGTGAATAACAGAGGAAGAATGGGCTCTGGAGTCTCCGGGCGCGCTCTTGTGCGAGATGGCGGCGGCTGAAATGATGTGGCGAGGATCCATACCCTGCATAAGTGTGTGTCCCATTTGAATGTGCCAAAAACAGTGGGTGCATAATTGAGGGAGTTCAATTCCCTGCATCACTTTTCCTCCAGACAACTGGAATTATCGACCGGCGTCTGTGAACGTCTTTCAGAGAGGGCGGCGCGGCGGAACAGTGGGTTTTGTAGCAGGGCCTTTCTAGCATAGGTGTCCACCGACAACCTAAAGACAGATATTGGAGACTCGTGGTTGTTTGTCCCTTCAGGTGTGAGATTGGACCCTCACATGATAAACAGACACTTCAACTCAGCGTCATCAAACCCTCTTCCTCCTCCTCCTCCTCCTCCTCCTCCTCTCTCTCTCTCATTCGGTGTCCACCTCTGTTTCTTGGCCTAAGCTGCAGGTTTACGACACAAAAGCCGAACACAATTGAATTCTCTCTCTTTGTGTTCGCACGTGTTTCAACGCGTGTGTGACGAGGCCAGTTTCCTGTCGTTTCCTGTCGCTCACTGATACAAGGTGCATTCGGGGGCCTGCTTGCGTTTGTGCATGTCGGGCTAATTGTGTTGGCCTGGCTGCGTTTTCATTAGCATTCCCAGGACGGACGGAGAGGAAAGGGCAACCTCGCAGTGTCCCCGAGAAAAAGAAAAGAGGGACTGGGAGAAGACGAGAGAAAACAGATGAGCCAAAACAACGAGGCCTTTTGGATTCGCTCGTCCGCTGCCAATGGATTCTGATTCTGTTTGTGTGTGTGTGCGTGTGAATCGTAACAAGCAGCATGAATATGAATGGGGCGTCCGGGGCTGTGGAGCCAATGAATTTATCATCAGAGACAGCGCTGTGTGAGTGCATTTAAAAAATTTAACGATATCTTAAAAGGTCACTTTGATGCGGCTCTGGGTAAAACAATGAGTGCAAAGGGTCAAGAGGGGAAAACGAGCGGAACCTCCGCAGAGAAACTGTTTCTGACCTTTGCGTCCACGATGTTTAATCTATAATGAAAAAAGCCTAAAAACGAAACCGAGCAGCTTCTAAGTCTGGAGCTTTATTTGTATCTGATTTTATGGAGATTGTAAAACTTAAATGTGTTTATTATTATTCCCGGGTATTCTCAGGGTTTATGCTTGCTTTTATTAATTGTAAAAATGTTTGGTAATAACTTCCAAACTTTTCATTGCAAAGTTGTTGTGGACAGATGGCAACTCAAAGATCTGTTTATTTCTATTTTAATAAAATTTGCCGTCATCTTGGATATCTCTTCACAACACATCGGGCTCCTTCCCGGGAGAGAGCTTATCTTCTCGCCGACTTTTTTCATTCCTCTGTGTTAAATTGCAGCGTAATCACATCATCTGTTATTGTGCCTCGTCTTTGCCAAACCAGAGGACTTCCCCTCATCTGTCGCCTCCATTGTAACAGGGTCTGAAAGGTTATTTCAGCCGAGCAGCAGAACAAATTCCCCGTCTGTCTGTTTCTTTGTTAGACGTGGCAGCGTCATCTCCGGGCGTCAGCACAGGACGGGTTCATTCCCTCTGATCGCACAGAATTCACCCTCTGACTTTTATTCTTCTGAGTCACACGCTGAGAAGATTTGACCATTTAAAAAATCATCCGCACATTTGTGATCCTGAAATTTCACGTTTCAAACCTCCTGTCTCCTGTCTTTCTTTGGCTGAGTTGGTTTTTGTGGTGGTTTTGTGTCTCTGTGGTTGTTTCCCGTCTCTGTGGTCGTTTTGATTTCCTCTCTGTGTGGAGGTTTTGAGGATTGTTGTAGATGTTGTTCATGTTTTGTGTCCTTGTTGTGCTGAGACACTCACTGCTGATTCTGTTTCTCTCTTAGTGACAAATCAATCACTTTGTGTTGGTTGTTGTGCGACTATTCGTTGTTGTTTCGTCTCTAGTTGTGATTGTTTAAAGTTTATTGTGTCTCAGGATTCATTTTTATGTCTATTCATGGTTGTTTTGCGTTTCTGTGATCTCATCTCATCTCATCTCATCTTCACAAAACTCAGTTCTCCGTCTTTCAGCTTCTTATTAAAGATTAGCTCTGGTCTACGTCTTATGATAATAAAACTTTGGTTTGATATTATATTTATGAACCATCTTTTTTTGAATGTCCTCCCATGAGATCTATATTCTTTAAGCTTCCCTCATTAGAAGATTTCACACATCACCACATCTGAGAGATCCACGTTCAAACTTACGCTTTGCTCTCTCGCTGCTGTAATTGATTATAATTGCTGACAAAAAAAAAAAGATATAACTATGAGACTATTTCACTTTCATTTCCAGATGATTCTCATTGAAGAACCTCGGTCCTGTAACTCATTGATAGGATTAATGTATTTATGAAAAATAAAAGAACAACATCTTATCTTATCATCTTACATTTCACTTCTCATCGAACAAACCTCGACGCTGCAGCTTTTGTCATGAACACTTTTCTCTCTGCACCAAAGGACGAGGAAGCAAGGTCAGAAAAAAGCTTCGTGGAGCTCCTCGTCTCATTCAGGTGGAAACATCACGTCGGACGTCACCGTTGAATAAAAAAAAGCACGACTCATTGTCATGGTTTTCTTTTTTCTCTGTGGTCTTTTCTTCTGCCTCGTTGTCGTCGTGTTTTCATCTCTTGCAGTGACATTCTTCAGCCGCAGCCCGGGGGCGTCTGCAGTTATTTCTTCAAATCTTGTTCCAGGTCAGTGGAGTGAAACGTCTCCGTTCCACTCTCTGAAATCGTGCTCGGACCTTTTACTGGTTTCCATTCACACGACCAGAACGACTGTGGTCGAATGTGTGTCACCGCAAAAACCACTGCAGGGATTCCAGAGGTTCTTCAAACAGCTAAAAATGTAATAATCTGAAACTTCTCAAGAAGTCTTCAATTATTCATCCTCACGTCGACCACAGTGTTACCCTGTTTACCCCTGAGACTCCAGAAGGCTTCATCTTTCAGTTAACTGTCCCTTTGAGAATATTAAGAAGAATCGTCTTTGGGTTTGGACGAGTCTGTAACGAGCTTGTGACAAGAACATGAATCAACCCTTGACCCGCAGGTTTAATCCACTCGGGATTCCTGCGTTTATGAGATCGAGGCCGAAGCCATGAAGTTGTTGAGACATTTTCAAGTGTTTGTCTTTCACACTTGAAGACGCAGCAGGAGCTTGTTCGGCTCAGACTTCCTTCGTAACAACAGGAACATGTGGGGAACATTCAGACATTCTAGTTCTCGAT